CCATGCTCGCCAGCATACGAAAAAGTGGAAGACAACACATTAGTCAATGGCATACAAGAGGCGGAGAAGAAGCTAACTTGTTGGTTTGCAGCAACCGCCTCGACTGAGGTACCGCTGGAAGAAATAGCAAAAGAGCCTCTCGGTATAACTCCCCCTTTGTCCGAGAATTGCAATACCTTGCCAGCTGCCTTAGTAACCAATGTCCCGCAAGAACTCCACTTATTACCTTTCACCTCAGAATCTACTTATCTCTCGTTGAAACCCCATGAAGTGGAGATCGCAAAGGCGATCTCAAGCGAGACACCAAGCGTCTTCGCTACTGAACCACTGGACAGCTCCTTGTCAACGAATGTCACGCCAGCAATTGAACAAATGATTGAACCCACTGATTTTCATTCACAGCAGAACTCCCCTTGTGTACGCGAATTTGAAGATGACCTCTACGATAACAAAAATGGAAACATTTGCGGTGAGGTACCATGCTCGCCAGCATATGAAAATATGGAAAATCTCAAAACTGCGGCCGACGTGGAAGACGACATATCGGCCAGTGACACGCAAAAGGTAGAGAATAAGGTAACTTGCTGTTTCGCAGAAACAGCCTCGACCGATGTACCGCTGGAGGAGGTAGCAGAAGCGCCTCTCGATATGGCTCCTCCTCTTTCCCAGGCTTGCAATACCTTGCGAATTGCCTTAATAACCAATATTCCGCAAGAACTCCACGAATTACCTTTTACCTCAGAATCCACGCATCTGGCGTTGGGACCGCAGGAAGTGGAGATCGCACAAGCGACATCAAGCGAGATACCAAGCGTCTTTGCTGCTGCCCCGGTCGAATCTAGTGCTTTTGAGGGTCTGCACTTCAGGGAGACAAAAGAAGAGGGCTCCTACAAGGCATTGGATAGCGAAGCTCAGACTTCTCAACCATCGGTCAGTGATGAATACCACTCTATTATTGAGCCAAGGTCCCTTATGGATTCAACCGAGGAGGCACTTTATAGTTTTACATCTGAAAGGTCTCCAGAGCATTCTGTAATTCAGTGTGAGGAAACACCTCAACTTCGTGCCGAAATCCCGCTGAAAGAAACAGTAACATCCAACGAGGAAGAAGAACAAGAAGAAAAAGAGGCCTCTCTAGAGGAGGCTGACGTCATAATCAGTGTTCAGGCTACAAAACCCTGCATGGAAATGCCGAAATCCATATCAAACTACATGGACAATAGGCAGTATGAGTCTGAAAACAAAGAGAATTTGGGTGCCACAGATGAGCAGCATCAACCTCGCATAAACGGGCAGGCTAGCGAAGACTTTGATAATCGATATGCTGAGTTTGTGGGGCGTGTTCTACCGGGCTTCGAAAGGTATTACTCCAAAAAGCCCAACCAGATCAACTATGAGATTGGGGACAGACCAGGCGTTTTGAGGGAGATGCAGAATCGAGAGCTTGCAGCCCTGCCGATATCACTGTACGCACCTGTCCATGGTCATCAGCGGGCCCAAAAACGACGTTTTCTGGAACCCGAGCCGGCAATCAATGATGACTACCTCTATCCAGATGCAGTGACGCCCTCAAAGGTTGAGAAGTCCTTGAGTGCCGTGGAGACGAATGCGGAAAATAAGGAGAACCGGTATGATGTACCCTTCATAGACGATGACGCCTTCCTTCCGCGAAGACTGCGTTCACCGTCACACGCTTCGACAATCACCGAGGATGAAACCTCCAGTGAGCTGGGCTACAGTTACGGCTACTACGAGGGGCGCTACACGAAGGCGGGCCATCTTGCAAACGACGATGACCTGAAATCTAATCAAGGTAATACACTTCTTTTCGTCAATCCGTGAAAATTATTTGCACCTGTGCGCAGTTTTTCTCCCAGTTTTTCGTAACAGGCAGTTTATTTTGTTAACTATGACCACTTCATCAATCAAGCTTAGTCTCTCCGGCCGTCTCATAGCAATACGCACGGCATGATCCAGTAGAACCATTACAAGAAATCTGGTGTATTCTGATTTTTATACGTAAATTTACACTTCTGACAGTAGTGCTGTAATTCCATAATTAAAATAAGTCGTTTGTTTTGTTTATTTTAAATATCAATCTAGTTTAACGGAATATGAAAGTGTTCAGGCAGAATTTTTGCACTAATGTCCACTCTCTTAAGTAGTTTCATCCGGTTACTGATAATTAACCTCAGGGAACTTCAGATATCATCTGGAGTGACTCTGAAGTTCCGTTATTTTATGTTGTTTGAAGGAAGTTTTTCATGAGTCAGCTATGACAAATGTACACTATTTTGATGGGTAGTTAATATGCATACGTGAATTCATTGGACCAGAGGTTTTCACATCCACTCATGGTAGTGTATGCCAATGATATATTTGAATGTAACTGCTCAAGGACAAGAAGTGAGGTTATATAATAATATTCAGTTCACCGAGCACTTTCACTTGGTGTCCAATTGGTCCTGAACAAGAAAATATGCCAGTGACGACTGGTAAAGCACGTGTCTAAAAATAATGACAAAGTTATTTCATGGCTTAGAATACTAAAAAATGAAAAGTAAACATTCATTAAACAGAAACCGGCAGCCGAAACTACTACAATTTCGATTAACTTTCCTGAGCCTCATCTTATATATATCTTCAGGCCTATTTAATCTTTCACGTTTTGAGTTCTATCCCGCCCTCATTTATATCCTATACTAAGTTCGAAAAATAAGCCTAATCTTTTCCAAAATGGGTTCCCAACCATTTGGCTAACCAACGCCGGCTCCCTCATCCTGATAGCAGTCGCTTCTGCTGTTGCTAGCAGGCGCTGACCTTAGTTAACATAGCCTGCGTAACCAATCTTCTCTTATCGGCCCCTGTCCCCCTATTTCCACCACTCTCTTGTATGAAAAGACAAACATTATTGATCGCATGTTTACCTAGTACCCCGTTCTCAAATAAATGTCATGGCCGAGGAAGATTTATCGAAAGCCTATGTATGCTCGCCAATTACCCTTTTGAATCATTAATATTAGCCAGCTGGTTGCCCTCATTTCCTCCGATGTCTATTTAAATGCATAGATGATATTTTTATTCACTTAGACCAACACGTACGTGTATAATGAGCTCAACTGTCTGTTCCAAGAGGGGAAAAGGGAGTACATGCAGTAGACGCCACGGATCACGCAACATTTCGACATAGGCGAAAGATTGATACTCTTTCGCTAATCGGTATTGACTAAGGTTCCGATACTGATTATCGTGTAGCCTACTCTAAAGTTTACTCCGTCATGATATGATGTGGGCTCTTTAACGAGTTTCGCTCTGACTACCAGCAAAAAGTATTAATTGTG